CAGTTACTCTAAAATTAGGTTATGGTATGAACTATTCTTAGTGAATCCGTACTTTTTTTAAACTCAAAATATTATGGGAAACCGAAGTTTGTGACAAGATATTAAATGCCATTTGAAAGGACTTGAAAGGAGAAGTCTCTCCGTAAAAGAAAATTCATGTATCCAGTGATTTTGGCTTTAGTAAACGAGAATCAATTCTCATTTACCTGACCTCGTACTGAGAAAAGCTCATCCAACAGCTTTTTTGGAATGTAAGATGCCCGAAAATTCTTATGATGGTACATTGTGCGGTGATTGGACATGCTGATTATAAAAATCATATCCTTCCCCACAATAGGGGTTAACAGAAGGACTACGGCTATATGTAGCCAAAATTACAAATTTTTCCAAAAATTGGTTGGATGAGTTATTAGATGCTGATACGACAATGATACCTTGCACTGAGCATTCTCTCTCACTGTATAGTTAGGGTTATGCGGTGGAAAGGTCGAAACCACAGGTCTCCTGGAAAAACAAAACTTGGATAATTTAATATCAACAAAGAAATTTTTGAAGCGCCAAATAGGGTATACACGTAGTGAAGTGGCAATCAATTCCTTTCAACTGATCCAATCTCCCACAATATTCTTTCGTCTTTCTGACCAAATTTTAGTTTATAACAAACGATATGTGCACCGTAGTCCATTTCAAGTTCAAACTTGAGTTACTCTTAGTGAAGTGTTCATTTCACATTACTCAGTTTATGGGATCTTCACTATCTCGCAGGCCTACAAACTCATATCTAAGTTCTTTATTTACTACATATCCTAAGTTTTGCAGAGAATTTTGCGAAAAATCAACTTGCCGATGCCTCCACGACCTTCTTTCGTGGAACAAGTCGCTAAATCTTCCCAACCCTTTTATTGTGCAGGTAGCAAGCAACGCTTTAAATGAATCAAGTCCCATATACTAAGGGTCATAACTGAGGTTGCTTCAAGTGCATTATGTACTTCTTAGACTATGACTGAGGCTTTTCAATCGCATCTAACCTTGACACTCCCAAATTTTCTATCTACATACACAGCAGAACGCCTAACTAGACGTATATTTGCCTGAACGTATATTTTGAATATAATTTCCTGTTTCTAATCAACATTTTAGGAACGAGCAGTTGACGTTGGCTACTTCATATGATAGCTAGAGGTTTGTATGCGTTGCTTAATGATTGGGAGCCATCTACTTGAAAAACTAAAACCAGTTGTTATCAACTCATTTCTATAAAATCGACTCCCAAGTCTGGCCACGCTCAGTTCCAAAAACTACGATCTTGACCATTTAAAAATCAAGTGTTTGCTAATACTTATATAAGTGCCAGAACGCTTTTCTGAATATTGCTAACTCAAACCTTCCCATTCTTTCGTTATTTCGTTTACAAAAGAAGATATTGTCTGTAGGAATTACTTACAGTTCTCCAATAGTGTGATTCAACTGTGCTCGGCTTTTGGCTGTTAGTTCTAAGCCAACACTGCTTTGCGACTTCTATTCAGAATTACTAGCTGGCATACGCCCAGCTACTTCCCATTTTCTAGGCCAATTCTTTGACTATTACCGTTGAAAGTTTAGATATGAAAATTGTGATTGAATATAAACAATTCAGTGATGACTATCATCTCCTTGTAGCAGATCAAACACTATACAAATTTCAGCTGCTTAATGGAAAACGTTGAAAAAATATAACAAGCCCTTGCGCACCAGACTCGTGCAAATCAATAAAGTCAATAGTTCAATAAATTAATGAAATCAATCGACCTTCTTCTAATCTGAGATCGTTTCTGGAGTGACTATTTTTATCCTTGTGCACATCCAGTGGCCTAGATT